AAATAAATAGGCTTAATTGCTAATATTGTGATGCAGTGGAAAGTTGTCAAGTTAGTGAAAGAACGGACTTAGGCTTGTACTTCTTCAGGATGTTATAAATATTTTCCTAAGCAGTTCCGATTATAACGGGTTTCAAGTGCAATTGGTTCTTTCTTTTCTTTCAAAGATTCTCATTTATAATTAGTTTATTGCTAAATCAGCATTGAAACATAAGTTCTGCAAGGTAAAACTGTTCTTGCAATAATTCGATTAAAACTCTTGGAAGCTCGGGGACTGGCTTCGGCATGGCTTGACATTCATCTCACACAGAACTAGTGTAGTTTACACATAAAGCAATTTACGTCATCACTTAACATGTAGCTAATAATGCCCATGAGCAATGGAGAAGGCAAGAAATGTGGAGGAAAATAGAACGCTGTTAATGAGGGTCTACGCATGCTAATGTTTACTGTTGAACAATAGTCATTAAGACGTAAACGCATTTGCACAGGTTTTGTTTGCTTCCACTTTTTTGAAATATGTTATTTTTTAATTTCAACATAAACAACATTTGAAAATTTCATGTTTCGAGGTCGATTAGGATTTATGTTTAGCATAAGGAGAATGGAGATAACAGCTCAGTTTTTCACTCTTTGACTCCTTTATGGACGTAACAACGGCGAGTTGGGCATGCCGAATACTCGAGGGGAAACTGTATAATAGTTAGACAGTAACAGCTCAGACTGCTTTCCCTCTTCAAATTTCATGTGAACACGGAAGTCACGGTGCTGATAGGGCCAAGTAAAGCTAGGAACTCAAATGTGTGAAAGGGATAGTTTCATGTTTATCTATTTTGCTATATGGTACCTCCACCGCCCTCAGGTATTCGATCGACGCCCACTTTGCACTCAACATATTGCTTATAGTATTTAGTGTAAGTTAACTCGGCGTTTCACTTAAACACCAGCTTTTGCTCTCCGTGCATCTGCCGGGTAACACAAACAAAGTTGGCCAAGGGAGAATCGAGTTGCTTTTCTCTTCCCTTTGTTAGTTGTGACAAGACGCTGACCATGCTCATTTGTAGCGCAGACGACAGCTGCTTACACCAAGTATACCACGACCTAGGTAAATCAAATGACTTAAGGAAAAGTGTGGAAAGGTTCGCATGCGCTAGTTGAAATCATTTTGCATTGTGTTCTAAAGTAACATGGTAGGATTTGTCCCAATCCAAATGCTGGAAAAACTTTCAACAGTGGAACGGATATGCACTCCATCCGTCAAAAGAAGCTCATGGAGTTTAACTGAAGTTAAGTTCAAAGCTTCGGGCATCATTAGCAAATGATTCGTACTCTGTTGACGCTGAATTATGCAAGAGATGATGAGGACAATGTCATCTGTCGTTCCCATCTCGTTCTGAACCAATGATTTTAAAGAGCGCATGCATTGAAGTTTAGCCATCTTGCGTGCTCAGAGATAAGCGAAGCCTACCTGCAACCTAGCGAGTTTTTCTAATATTGTTTAATAATCTAAGCAATCGCATCATATATATTGTCGATGTTTGACTTACCACTATAATATTCCTTAACAAGCTCATTGGAATCCATGCTACATTCCGCTAAAACAGCTTTATTTTGACCTGAATTCTTTCGCACAACCAGGAGCCTCAAACACCTATGCAAAAGCACGCACACGACAATCTGATCAATATTTCATCGATTAGAAGGTAAGCATAAGCTAAATATCCCACACAAGACAGGTTAATCCAAAAAAGAATGCATTCTGCATTCTAATGGCGGAAAATCGTTGCTGTAGTGACATATGCTCGCTCTCCCCAGGTGGAATTTTGCGACCAGATGGGGGTGGGAATGCTGTCACAAAACATAAGAGTTAACCTACTTACTGGACGGTATGCTCATTTGTGCGGATTGGAATGATATGCTCAAGCAAGGAACGTTTCAAACGGCGCATCGACAATAAATCGTTGTGACACGTTTGTTCGATTCAGGATCTAATTATGTAGAGAGAAAAAACATAAAAACAACACAATCAACCAGGTTGCGCTTGATTAAAAGAATTCGAAGGTAACAAACTACCTAATGTGTGAGCGACATTAAGTCACCAGATAGCTTGGCGTACGGACATAACTTCGCAGCATTTATCATATATTCGCCACCGGCATTCTGTAATAAGCCTACGAATGAGTGGCTCTTTTGCAGACATCTTAAAAAACGTTAGTTAATATTTTTAATATAGCATGGACTCGATTATGGCTATTCCGTTTAAGTAAAGATGACATATGCGCCAAAATGCAACGACGAGTTTACGACACATTTGCGATCTTGACCTCTAAATAGCACTAGTGCTGATCAAAGTGTGAGATACGCTCAAACAGTAATCAGTATTCCTTTTTTAAGCAGTTTGAAATTCAGTGACAGCAGTGCACAAAGGCTACTCTTGAGATTATTATTTTAGTGATTAAAGTGAAACTCGCCACCCAACAAAATATCTTGGAGGCAGTATTTGATTAATCCTCCTATCAATGGAGATAATAATTTCCTGGTATTTCGCTTACACACTAACTTTTGCTTAAAAAAATGGCAACAGATTGACAGTCAAACTCAAGAGCATGCCCAAATATGTAATCTTAATGTGCAGAATACCTACACGGCACTGACATAAGAATTATACTAATCAATAGACATGACAGTCAACAAGTTAAATCGATGCATCCGTCGAATAAAGCAGCTATCAATCATGTCAAATATACCTTTCATAAGCAGGTAGCAGCCTTCGAAGAAATGGATTTCGTGCTTGCTTTCGCAATAAATGTTGACGCTATAACATAATTCATGACTCGAAAGCTAATCCCTAGAAATCGTCAGGTAGAATAAGGTGCCCTAAGTAAAGTTGCACTGTTATTTGGGGAACAATTAGTAGATACCCAATCTAGTATTAGCCCGAGAATGTAACAAATTGCTCACCCAGCCCATGTCTATGAAATAACCCATGAGACCTTTCTCGATACCTGTGGATGGTGTGGCTCTGGATGGCAGCTGAAAAGTAGTGTGCTTTGCAGCAAACGTTTGAGTATCGACGATATTTATCACTTCAGGTACCATGAAAATCATGAAAGCAAAGAAAACAGCGCAAACGAAATTACTCAGATTCGTACTTAAAATACATAAACAATTAGAACTAGTAATCCAAATTTATCTAGAAGAAAGTCTACACTCTTAGTTGCCTCCGTGAGCAAATTTCGTTTGGTCACCATAGACTCACTTGATATTGTTAAATTAGTGTGACCAAAATGAAGGCGTTTCAATTCGCAGAATTCAAATATTTGTTACTTCCTAACTTCGCATTTATAAGCCTAAAAGTCAACGGCATATAGAACGAACCAAGTGAACTCGCCAACTCAGAGGAACCAGAGATAATCCCTTTTACACCGTCAGCAACAACAATTGTTTTTCTCTGGTTAAGTACAAACTTGAAGAACTTTGAGTACCATTTATTTAAAGTGTATCCAAAAACGCTGTGCGCATGCATATGTCATCTCTTACAGCACTAATGATCTCTAGATCGGTACACAAAACATCCAAGACGGTCTTTGTCCATGTAAGTAAAGCGCAGTTAACCTATTCATGTGGAGGCTTGAAAAGTAGGCCAAATGTTGAGCAAACATAAAAAGTTCACAAACGGAATCGATCACTATAAATTTAAGCAAATTTTAACAAGTAAAGGTAGAATAAATGCCCACGAGCGTAGATAAATAAAAGGTTATGCATAAATAAAGGCCGAGCTAATTACATTACATCTAGGAATTGTGTGACGCCTAATTTCATAAGTTAATGCGTCAGTACAAATATATTTTTTGAAGCTGGCGGTATCATGAAATAAGGTAACAGCAATCATCTTCGTTCCGCTGAATAAAACTGCATTTGCTTAATATACCAAGTCGAATTTGAGGTGGTTCAATAGCGCTCCTATACCTCTGCAATTTGTTAACTGCTAAATCTACATTGCTTAGCAGGATAGATTCACTTTACTTCACTTTACTTCAAAGCCACAGCAAACTAACCCAACTATCAATTCTTGTCGACTAGTACATGTGAATACAAAACATCGCATATTTAGCTTTTTCCGAATGTGTCCATCTGTAACTTGGTAACTTACCAAGCAAATTTTGCCAATACTTTTACAACAAAACGATGCCTTCTGATGAGGAAATTATTGTGAGCTTGTAAAAAATGAAGTAATTTGGAGTAAAACGAGGCTTTATGTAAATTTCGTAATGGAAACAAAGAAGCTACTTGGCTTAGCCACACCAGAACAATCCCCTTCACCGCAACACAACTGATAAATTTAATGGGCTCAAATTTATGCGCCATTAGCCACAGTAGCTAAATCATCCCTACTTTCTGCGTTGTTCCTCATAGTCTCATTTCTTCCGCTCTGATTATCGGGACAAATATGGTATTTCGTTTTCTGTGCACGCGGATGTTCAGAATACTAAAGCGTCAGTAAGAACATCAGCGAACCATTGACAAATGAAATTGCTGCAGGCACAAAGCTCAATTTGGGCTTTAGGCTAGTCGAACATAATTATGAAGGACTGTCTAGGTAGCGTATATGTCATTTAACATACGTGCAATGCAAAATTTTGTAGAAACAAATAAAAATTCGGTATGAAGTCTTAGGATGTAAAGTAACCTAGAATTCAGTAAACAGATTCAATAAAACCTACCAACTCAAATGCTTTGTTCTAATTTTACGGACCCGAGTTAATTGGGCAATTTTTACTAACAGCGATATTCTTAACCACAACAAAGATGCTATGATGCATTAGGAAATTTAGGTAAGCAGCACATAAATTTGAGTTATGCAAGAGATCATAACGTATCATCATTTAAGCAAAGCTGAAAATATTTATGATTAAATGCTCAAAATGACGAAACTATAATGTTTCTTCGTAAAGTATTATGCTACGTACCAAACAGCTATTCATTCATACTCCAATCTAGATCAATCAAAAGGCGTCGGGTTTATTCGGTTTGACCAACGACATGAAGCCGAATTAGCAATTCAGCAGTTCAACGGGTATCGAGTCAATGGATCCACAGAAATGCCTTTGGTTGTTAAGTTTGCCAACTTACCCACCTCAATAAAGGCTGCTTCGATGTTATGTTCAACAAGAGACCAAGGATCAATTACTGGGGACCCTGTTATTTCGCGTCTTTCAAGTCTAATCGACTTCAGTCCTTTTGGAATCGAAGCACCTACGCTGCCCAACGTTTTGACTGGGCCGAGCTTACTCAAGGAACCAGGCGCGGAAATATTTGACCTGTTGAATGCCACTCAGTACGCGAGAGGATCTTCTCTTATAGACTCCAGTGGTGGCCCTATCTCAGCCAGCAATACTAATACGCTGAGAAGAGTGGGAGGGCCCGTGCATAGCTACGAAACACACAGATTAAGGTTAGTATATTATTAAAAACATTTTGATTGATAATTCACTTTCACTATACAGAGGGATGGAAATAGTACATAGTGAATGCCACTAGCAAATGGTTTCACAATTAAATTTTTTGGTTTTTTGCACTACGAAATAACGCATGTATATGGGCTAAACAGATAACTTTCTTATTTTTTCTTCGTTACTAATTAATTTTCTACCTACATTAATATCATATGCTTATGCAATTTATTCAAACAGCCGATGTCTATTGATTAATCCGTGTTTATTGAGTGTTTTTCAAAGATTTCTGGACACTGCGAGTAGTCACAGCGGTTTCACCCTGGCTGTCCTTGTTGATTCGGCATAAACATCTTTGTTTACAGTCTGAGATGCACTGGATCAGTTCACAATCCCATCCCCTACGTATCAGATTAGTTTTGACGCGACGACTCTTGTTATCTGCTTTGCTGAGCTAACGGAGATCATACAAGTAAAATAATCGTGTATCATCTGCATACATATTAAGTGTCCGGCGATCTAACAAGTTGAACATGCCTCTACGCATTATTTGACGTTTATGTCTGAGGAACCTCATACTCAAAATAATTTTGCTCATAACATAAACGTCATCTAAATCCAATTCCTTAATCTGACACCGATGAAGGCGGGGTGATAATAATGTAATAGACAAGTTAGAATGAATTTCGGTTGTCCAATAAAGACTTCCTTGCCGAAATGAATTGAGCCACTCGGTCTTCTTTGCATTCAACTTGCAATAAATATCATAAAAAGAAAGCTGTGTTGATTTTAAATTAAGCTTTTGGAATGCCGTGCCCCACACACTGGTGTTTATTGACAAAAATAATGTATATTTGATATTTGTTTCTACTTCGTGAGTAGTAACGAAAACCACTCAGACTTGTTGGGCACCACCAAGGTGGCTTTTTCCAGTATACGGTAACCTGTTGAATGGTGTTAAACGTGACACGTCTCAAATCACGTCGTCACCTTAAGCTTTATTTACGCGAATGAGTGGGTGTTAAGCAATTTACATTATCGAATGCGAACAAACTAAGTTGGCACCATCTAAGAAATAGGTTACAAAAAATGGATAAAAGTGGAAGATACATTGCCGTCACTCGGGTGATTCGTTTGTGGCCCTCACAAGCGATTGAGCAACGACCGCACAATATGAACCGTATTTTCGGGATTTTCATCCAAGGACTGGTACAAGATTTAGTTAAACGCTTCATCATAACATGTTTCAGTTGTCGTAAAATGTTGGATCTAATGGCAGTCGACCAGGGATCGAGTCCGATATCGCAGTGTTTGCATTTAATAGGTTATAGTGTAGCTTGGACTCAGCAAACCTGGAAATTGTTTGAACACAAAATATGTCAGCTTATTCTCGCGAAACTGAAATATAAACAGCTGATGTAAAAATGATGTTCGGCGAAAAATCGCAACGGCCGAATTAAGGGCCTCGCTACAGAGTATAAAATTCACTAGCAGTCAGCAGTGTTTAACACTAAACATTACGTAGGTAACCAGATGGAACGTTATTAAGTATTTAACTGACGAATACATGAGCAGCAGTGAATGACCTATAAACCAATAGCTTACTTATCATACTGTTTTAGCTCTGGTATCATCCATTACGGTGGTTCTCATATTTCTTGGGCCAAAGACCCCCTTTTAGTGGACGCTAGCACAGCGGATCACATGAGATAATACTAACCAATGGACTAAGCTTGAATTAACTGAAAATGAGGTGGTGTCCTGAACAAACGCATTAGTGTACACTGAACCAATACGGATGTTCATTTAGCTAGTAAAAATATAAAAGATGTGGAATATTACTATAAAAATCAATGTACATCAATGCTTGAGTTGAAGAATGTAATTTTTTATGACATGCATTGCTGATATTTGATGGTTGGCGGAAGTGAGGAAAACTACAACCTCACATCTGGTAGAACAAGTCTTTGGCAGTACTTTAATTTTTATGTGTGAATTGGGAAAATGCACTTCCACACGGTTAACTTGTGATAAATGGGAGAAGCATGGCGGCAGCCATCTTCGCTAAGAAAAAATGCGAATCCTTCATTTTACGATTGACAACGACAATTTTTAATCCCAACAGATAATGATGAATTGAATATTTTTGTGACATTTAGCAGTGCTATTGTCTTAAGCTAACCGCTACCTTTTATGTAATATAAATAAATGCAGGATATTAATTAATCAAAAGTTTGCAGAACAAACCTCAAAATTGGGTACTGATAAGTCGAACTTTGAAGGAGTATAACAAGTATTAATAATAACAACAAACTTTGTAACTCCGTAGAGACGTTTTCTAACTCTTAAAATTGAGTGGGCACATTCGTCCAGCACCGAAAGCTCCATCCCCTTCCTCTGGGCTTCCCTCGTTGGAATCACACAAATGCGCCTCTTAACGATTGCCTGATTTCGGCGGATAGGGACTTCGAAATGACCACAGAAAGTTTTCGCCACCTCACAATGGGCAAATTCTGAGTTATGAATGTGCGTGGACGGAGAAGGACTCATTCAACCTTTACCAATTGTATCATAGGAGAGTATCACAAAACCAGTATGAGATTTGATAGCTTAGTTCACTGACATTTTAAGCCTCTGCAATACGCAGCTCCCTCTTGGAAGTAGTTTGCTTTATATTGGCCATTCACTACGCCAATGTAAACCATCAGATTTGATTTAACACATTTTCATTGCGTTTGTTATCAAAATGTAAACTAAATTAATCGCATCCAAACTTTTAATGGATATATAACATTGCGGAATTCCCGCGAACCACCTGAAAGCTTTAAGCGGAGCACACTTTGAGAAGTACCGATCCAGTACATGAGACTGTTGGTTACTGGACACTTTCAGACAAATTGGCAACACATATTGCTGCATTGCCTGCTGCAACTGAGGTAACGCCACAGTTGATGCGCTAAATAAGATATATATCTCCCCACGGTTTTAGCCATTCGGAGACTCTGTTTACAGGAAAATGCCCACCTTCAAACAGATTTGTAAACGGCAGGGGTCATATTATCCTAACGGAAAAACAATACTATCAGCATTTAGGTTGTAACGTCGCCCTGCCGCCGCGAGAAATCCGTCAGTCGGGCGCGGGTTGAGTATACTCGAGGACACTCATCCCTACTCCAATTCGAACCGGGGACCTTATGGTTGCAAACCAGGCGCCCAGACCACTCGACCAACAGCCGTAAAGTAGTGCATTGCTTTTGCTAAGAGGTCTGACTCCCGCTTTGTTTATTCCATGGGTTATGCCATCAGTTTAATTAACGCCCAAAATGCTAAAGTTAAGAGAGAAGTACATAAATAAAAATCACATACCATCGATCAGTACATTACATATCCGAGACGCAAACACGCATTCTCCATTGAGTATGGTAGTATTTAGCCAGCTTTTACTCAATGTCTGGTTGGTGGCTATATATATATACATATACATATATATATGTGCATATATAAAGACTGAGACTGTATTTAAGAGCAAGTAGAAAGGTTTCTGTACAACTCTATCGAATTACGAGAAATCAAAACATTTAGTTGTGAATCATCAGCAGTTGTGTCTGGTCCGTTAATCGTTTATCCGTGTCCTGTTAGGAATTTGTGTTGGTGTAACTATTTCCGGGCATACAATGTCTTCTTTTGGCATTGTATGTGCATCGTTTCACAAAAGCACAGTTTTCCGAAATAATCGTCGACACGCGTTTGAAAACACTTCACAGAATCGGCCTCTAATAATCCTTCAGGTAGTGTATTCCATAGGTTTACGATTCTTCGTTCGATACAAAGCTGATGTGATACTTTGTTCATGCTGGGGACCCTGAGTTTGTAACGGTGTCCTCGGGTGTCACAGGGTTCCCGCAGGTGAAATATTGGCCGCAGTATGGGGAAGTGATTTAAGTGTAGTACTCGATGGGCCATAATAAGGTCAATTCTTACTCGGCGATAGGATAGTGTGTAGAGTCCGAGCCTTTCACAACGTTTTTCATACGGAAGCTTTTGTAGACTAGGTATCATCCCAGTTGCGATATGCTGTATTTTCTCCAGCTTTTCATTTGCCAATTGGGTTATCGGATGATAAGCTGGGGCACCGTATTCAAGGATTGGTCTAATGTGCGAGGTGAATAGACCAGGGATGGTTTCTTCGGACCATGTGGAGAAACTGCGCCTTAATGCCCAGAGCATATGAAGTCCCGCACGGTACAATTTCTCTGTATTTGCTAGTGATCTCATATCATGTCGTGAGAGAACTCCTACGTCTCTGACAAATGTGTTGGGATGGAGCAACTGGCCGTCCAAGGTGTATGATCGAGTGGCTGGGCGCCTTGTGATACTGATGAACTCCGACTTGCTTGCGTTAAGAGGGAGTTGCATTTCAGAGGACCATGTTGACAGTCGCTCTAAGTCATGCTGGAGGCGAGCGCAGTCGTCCTGGTTCTCAATGATAGTCCAGATTTTCAAATCATCTACAAACAGTGCACATGGTGACTGGAGCTGCTGCGGAAGATCGTTGATATGAATAAGAAATAACACTGGCCTAAGTACATTCCCTTGAGGCACACCACTAGTCGATGGGAACCAGTCTGTCAGGTAGTCATTGACCTGTACTCTAAACTTTCGTCCCACAATAAACTCGTGTAACCACTGAAGTAACGTGCCACCGATTCCGTATGTCCTCAGTTTACCAAGGAGTACCTCGTGGTTAACTCTGTCAAACGCCTTACTAAAGTCGATGTACACCACGTCAACATCCTTCCGTTCGTTGAGAGCTCGTACACACTGGTGGTTTGCGTACATCAAGTTGGTGATGCAGGATCGCCCTTTCGTAAAACCTTGTTGCGCTAGCGTCAATACGTCCATCGATTCGAAGAACAATAGCAGACACTTTCTCACAACCTTCTCGAGAACTTTGGATAATACCGAAGTCAAACAGATCGGTCTATAGTTCTCTATTTTACTC